CCTCGTGTGCCAGCGGTGCCGTGGTGCCCGCGGTGCCGGCTCACCTGCAGTGCTTTGCCATAGCTCAGCCGCAGCCTCTGGTGCCCTGGGGGCTGAGCTTGGAAAAAGACTTTGTTAAACACGGAGAAGAGTTGGAGAAACTGTCCTGGCACAGGGTTTCTGCACCCAGTTAGCAAAAGGTTTACCAAGGGGTTCCGTAACGGGGTGTATCAGCCAGTGTCAGCACGTAATTGCAGTTACTGTCTTGGGAATTCCCCTGGGATGCACCTTCCACCTTGCAGGGATGGAGGTGCAGGGGAGAGACCCCCGTGTTGGATTCGCTGCGGGGTCAGAGCAGGGCATGAACTATGGAAACTTTCCTCCTGTTTCCTCAGTCTTCGCCACTGCAGAGTTTTGCCTTCTCTGGTCCTGCTGTAGTGCTCAGGGATGAGGGTTGGACCAAGTCAACCACTTTAACATTTATGATGTTGTTTTTTTTAATTTTATTTAAGCTGAGATCCTTTCCAAGCTCTGTTATTACGATATCTTTAAAGTCAGAATTATTTGCTTTTTAAAAGTGAGATAGGTAAACACAATAGATACTGTGAACAACAGTTTTCTTTCACGAATTTTTGTGCTTCTGCTCCTGCATGTGCTAACACTGCCAGGTGAAGATTTCTCTGAGGTTCATAAATGGCTTGGCTTAAACTCTCAAACCCTTAATACTAACAAATTGTCAAAGTTTAGCAAAGCTAGTAAAAATGTATGGTGCAATAAATGACCCACTTTAGCAGAGCACCATATGGATTATCCAGCTCACATCTGGATCATTATTTATCTCATGAGTCCTAAGGTTTCAAAAAACCCAGCCATGTTTTCTATAAAACCGAAAAAAGAAATACTATGTGACAAGTCTTCTTGCAAATTACACTGAGCAATAATCCAGGCTTCAACTTACGCTATTCAGTGGTGAAAAGACTTTGATTAGAAATACCTCTGGTGCTTTACAAACATCTGGAATAGTTCAAAGGTGCTTGGGTGGCTGTGGCACTTGGGGAGGTCAAGTCCAGGCGCTACACTCTTCTAGTGATGCAGAGCTTCCCACTAACATCCATGCAAACACAAAGCTGCATGCCAAGCGTGGATTTAACTTCGTGCTGCTCATTATTCTGGGCACGCAGTCACGCCTCCTGCTTTTGATTTGTTAAAATCCATCAGAAAAACTTGGTGATTTAACCAGTTGGAACTAAATTGTCTTGGAGAGAAGAAACTTCTCCCTTAAATAAAATTGGTGCCAGAACCCAAATCTCAGCTCCAGACACCTGCACGGAGCCCTCGGCAGGGCCCCTGCCTTCCCTCGTGCTCCAATGCCTGGAGCAGCTGCAGCTGGGACGGGATGGGATGGAATGGGACAGGATGGGATGGAATGGAATGGGACAGGATGGCATGGGATGGGATGGAGTGGGACAGGATGGAATGGGACGGGACAAAATAGAATGGGATGGGACAGGATGGCGTGGGATGGGATGGGACAGGATTGGATGGGATGAGATGAGATGTGTCAGCACAAGCAGCCCTGTGGTCTGAGGCTGGGGTGCATCCCCCCCTCAGCACCCTCCAGTACAGCCACCCACCGGCTGCAGGGACAGCTGAGCAGCTCTGCCTGCTGCCACCCACTGCCAAAATGAGCAGTGGTGGTCTTGGACTTTGCTTTTCATAAACCGTCCAGGTTCTCTGGACCTGCTCCAGCGAAGTACAAGCATCCTGATGTAGAAAAATTCCTGCCAGGATGATACTGCAGTGCAGGATGCTGCAGTGCACAACACATGAACGCATGTTTAACTGGCAGTGGGTGCATCCAGCCCCGCCGGTGCTGCGTGGCCGATCAGGACCTGTTGGTGCCGCTCCATCTCCACGGGTTTTTTGGAAGGATGAAGTAACTTTTCTTGGAGCTCGGGGTCCCCTGGGCAGAAATACAAATGAAACAACGTATTTTGTATGATTTTCTCTTTAGTGTCTGGATAAGAATCTTAAACAGCAACAGCCCTGGAGTAGAGACTGAAGCTGTTTGTTAAAAGTGGAAACAGACCTTAAGAATAGAAACGGTTAAGAAATGGGAAAAAAAATGCACTGACTCATATAGTTAATTTCAGAAGGAAAAGCTGGAAGTGTCATCTTTGTAACACACCAGGAAGCAATATATAAACTTTAAGTTAGAACAGCAAACCATTCTCCAAACATTCTGTTTTACCTCCAAAGATGTTTTCGCTCATGAGTCAGAGCTGATCCCAGGCCAATGGGAATGTTTCTATTTACTTTGAGACTGTGCCTGCAACTGCAAATCCCACTCGTTTTTCCTGAGGCGCACAAGCCATCTCTTCCAAGGCCTGAGTCTTTCCTCCCAGGATCATAACCCAAACCTACTCTGAAATCCAGCTTTGTGCAGAGCCTCGCGCACCCCTCGGTGCGCCCGAGGATGGGGCAGGACGAGGGCAGAGCCCCGGAGCCTCTGCCAGGGCTGCGCCCAAGGTTGGCACTGGCCCACCCGAAACGTTCAGTCTCTGAGCTTCTCCCACAGCCTCATTTTTGGGGCAAGAAGAAAGTGAATTTGTGAAAGCAGCTGACACCTCCCTGCCCTGCCTGCAGGGACCCTCGGGGGCTTGGGACTGGGATGGGGGGATGGCAGCCCCTAACACCTTCCTCTGCCCCCAGGCAATGCTTCTGGGAACCCAACAGACACCCCCACACCGACAGCCCTGGCCACAGAACAGAGAGGCACCAGCAGCGCGGCAGCCACTGGAGCCACTGGAGCCACTGGAACCACTGGAGTCCCTGGAGGCACCAGAGCCTCCAGCAGTGCCAAGCCAACGGCAGAGACGTCCGGTAATTGCTCCCCTTGCTCCCCCCCATGATTCCCAGTAGCATTTGCATTAATAATCAGATTTATTAAGCGTGCAGGCTTGTCCTAAGAAACCACGCAATCGGTGCATGGGTTGTGCTCTTAAGAGTGAGCCAGATGACACAGTCAAAAGCTTTAATCTTGCCCAAAAAGTCCCACCTGGGACCACCTAAGGCTGCTTCAGGAGGGGTGGCTTAGACCCAACCTTTTGAAAACAGCCAAGAGATGATGGGACAAAACATTCATTAATTTTTCACCCCAACATACCTATTCTTTGCTCAGCAAACAGCACCCAGCAGCGGTCTGCCAGCCTTTACGGTGAGCGGCCGGAGCCGTGGCGGGCTGTGAAGCAGCGACCCCTGCGCAGACGCACGGTGCCTTTCCCTTGTGCTGCTTGAAACCAGAACATCTTTTTGAAGGCTCCGGGTCACAAGGGACGCGAGGGCGATGCAGAGGAGGTTGGGCAATGGCATCCTTGGCGTGGTGCAGCGTATGCCCAGGAAATTAGCCCGTTGTAAACAGGTTATGAAGCACATGTAACAATTAGGGAGCTGAAGCAAGTCTAATGCGCGGTTTGGTACCGCTGGCTGTGACAGATCAATATTGTACCTCAGTCATCGCAATGCCACGCGTTGATTTTAGAGGACTTAGGCTTTCTCATGGACCCTTTCCATGGCATTTCTTCAAACCCGAAGGTGCGGCTGTGTCCCTGGCAGCCAGCCCCACCTCCCTGGCACTCAGCACCCCGCAGACGAGCCTGCAGCCCAGCCGCGCCCCCACGCAGCCTGGGGCACCCCCTCGGACCCATCCCACACGAGCCAAGGGGTCTCCACAACCAAGAGCCCAGCAACACAACCCAGCACGATGGCAGAAACCCCCGGGTCCATGCCAGACCTGACGAGCTCTTCTGCCACCTTGGGGCATCCTCCTGTCTCGGCTGCCACCGCAGGGACAGCCCAAAGGTGAGCACAGGGCTGGGCACCGCGGGCTGGGGGACCACGAGGAGGTTGTGCTTGTTCACTGATGCCAGCACTGTGGCTTTTCCTTTCCAGCTCGTCACATGCCACAACATCAAAGAAGTGAGTGACACTGGAGCCATCTGCTTGCAGCTCAACGAGTCCAGCACTTGCGTGAGTTGCAGCCCCGGGCGGCCACATGTCTCCGAGGGGGGGGGACATGCAGGAGGAGGGGGGCTGCAAGCAAACAGCCGAGGGCAGGTTCCTGCAGCACTCTCAGACTTGCAGCGATGGGGTCACCCACCGTACCTGGGGGGTTGGCTTGGGGTGGGGAGCTCACACCATTATCCCTGGGGCAGAGCACTTGAGCTGTGCCACACTGACAGAGGTTGGGATGATCGCAGCAGTCCCAGGAGGATCCCAAAGGGACGATCACAGCAGTCCCAGGGGAAATGCAACCTTCTGGTTGTGTAAAACCTTCTTTTTCATGATTAAGCTCTGGGGTCAGTTTAGCTTCTAAAGGATCTCCCTCCATGTTTAACAGGAAATTGCCTTTGTTCTTCTCCTTCCTCTCCCCTGTTGGGAAGGTGATTGCCTTTTCTTCTCTTGCCAACTGGCCTAGGAAAGAAAACAGGGCATCTGAAGGAGCACGGGTGGTAGACCAGTGTCCCCATCTGCACAGACTCCTAGGGGAGCCCCAGGCTCTCTGCGCCTGCCCTTGCCTTGTGCACCAAAAATGAGGCATTTGTGAGAGCAGAGGAGGGTCCAGCTGAGGCATCACTGTGGGTGGCAGGAAAGAAACCTTTCCTACAGGAGGTGCAACCTGCAGCAGAGGCCGGATGGTGCAGGATCTTGTGGGTTTGGCAATGCCCTGGCTATGAACCGACAAGGATTAATCTCACTTCTGCTGGTTGGCCGTGCTGCCGCCACTTAGGACGAGTGAATTCTTACTTAGCTTTCCTCTGCAAATCGGCGAGTAAATGGCATTTAGGCTCGCTCCTGTTTACGGCAACTGCATTTGAGCACGAATTCCCATGGAAACTCCTCCGGGAGCGAGTGTCTGTGATCGCAGATGCCATCTAGTGGGTAACGGCCCCTCCGGACACGGCCTTTCTGCACATCCTGCCCACCTCACATACCTGCACCTACACAAACGGATGTATATGTGCCATACAGAACATCCCATAGAGCCGTACCTAATGGCACGTACTCTTAAACCCTCCCTCCGTGTCACGCTGCCCCGCTTCCAACCGCGGTTTTCCGGGACCCGTCTCCCATGCCTCCTCTTCGGGTGGGAAAAACCAGCCCAGGCTGGGCCGTGCCTCAACTGGGAAGCAGATACGAGCGTCTGCGAGGAGCGCAGATAGGAGGGACGGTGCCGTGTCTCGCTCTCCAGCTGCCCTTTCCCAAAGCCCATGAGCAATATGCTGGCACCCGGCGCTGCTAATTGCAAAGGGAAATTCTGACACTCCGATGAGTTCTTTCCACAGCAGAGAAAGGAAAATACACACTTGGGGCTCTTGTTCCAACTTAGCCTTTCTCACCCCAAGCCAAGCTCTACAGAAACAGCTGAAAATGATTTGTTTGTTATTCTCCCATGGATAAGCTTCTGCATTTTTGTATGGTAAGAGGCCGTGGCGATGCGAGCACAATGCTGAGGCGGTTCTAAGGCAAAGAGGGGACGGTGCTGAGCTGCCCGGCTCCACACAATGCTGCAAGGCAAGAGGGTCTTCTCCTCTTTCGCAGCCCCATGGTGGTGGGTACGTCCTGGGAGCGAGGGGGAAGTAGGGGCAGGACGGGGGATTCAGCTGGAGCCGGTCTCTGTCTCGAGGGGGTGGCCACGGCCGCAGCTCAGATGATGTCCCCAGCTGGGAGGATGTTAGGGAAGCTGATAACGTCTTTTAGCAACTGTGGGCTCTGTCTCCAAGCCTGATTGTGGCTGAAAATAGACCCGAGGAGAAAGCCTGTCCTGTCTGATACAGAAATTGGCCCGCGGAAGGGAAAGGCTGCAGCTCCTCACTCCTTTTCCTCTTCCACCTAAGAGTCAATTCAGCTCTAAAATGTGAGAAATTTGTATTTTTTTGCCTAGCCTTTGATCAGCAACCTAGCAAAAACATTGAAGACATTTCCTAAACAGGAAGGCTCAATGCTTCTTTGTTATTTCCCTCCTTTCCCAGCCCTTGCCTGGGACTCTGAAACAATAGGGCTCTTCAGGCGACTGTTTCAGTCCAAAAATTGGAGAGACTTGCCATGCAATTCAGATCCTAAGTTTAGCTTTGTTTAAATGCCTGTTGCAAGAGTTGCTAATAATATCTTCATTTAATTTATTCTGTAAGTTAAGGAACAAGAAATAAGCATCTCACTTTTCTAGGTGTTGGTGCTGGGGCTCAAAGCAGTGAAGTGGGAGGTGAAAGGCTGACACCAGCCCAGCGCTGCTTGTCACTTCTTGTTGCTTCTGCTCAGCTAAGCCACCAAAACACAAAGGGTGAATGCACAACACTACCAGTAGCATCAGAGATTGGAGAATTAGTCAGTTTGGTTGGTTCAACGGCTGTTTGTTTGAAAATTTTGCAGAAACATTTTTTAGAGAGGAAGGGATCGGCCTTATGGAGTGCAATATGTGAAGAGGGCACCCGCCGTGTTCCCTCCCCCTGCCAGATTAAACTCGCCAAATCCGAGGTGGACCGTGACTGTATGCTCCTCATCCTCGTCGGTGAGAGAGGTCAGTGGAGCTAATTCCTTTGGCTGTCATCAATACTGCTGGATAACGACCTCGATGGGGGCAATGGGAGAGGGGACTGTTTGTGGGGAGAGGCTGTGGGACACGAATCCTACAGCCTGGCAGGAGGCTTCTCTCTGCAACTGCTGCTCTTCTTTCTGGGATCTTCCTAGATCCGTGGAGCCGTGGCGCTGCTTCCAGAGCAGCCAAGGGGCTCACGGCTCCTCCATGTCCAGCAACGACCGGGCTCTTTGATGCTGGTATTGGCTGTAGCATGACCCTTTATTTAATGTGCCTCTTCTCTCTTAAACCCTGCAGATCCTGCTACGGATATGCTCCAGGAGTCTCAGTGGGAAAAGGTAAATTCCTTAAGCAAATTCATCTGGAAAAAATGGGTGGTCTGAGTGGCTGGAGAAAGGAGATTTCTAGACGGGCAGTTGAGGCTGAGACCTGAACCTGCCTCTGTCTCCGAGGTGCTTGTTGAGCGTTGGCACATGAGATGGTTGGAGCCAAGCACCAGACGTGCAGCGAGGCACCGTGAGAGCACCGGTACAACCGCCGAAGGCAGAAATGCTTGAAATAGTCACTGCAAAATTCTGTAGTATTTTCTTAAAAAAGGCCTAGATCCCAACAATAACTCTTAGGATATAATTGGCACTCTGCTGCTTCAAAGTACCAGGCTGACATCAATTAATTCCTCCTCTCCACACTCCACCGAGGCTGCCATCAGCGTGCAAAGCCGAGCTCCAGGTGCCTGTACCAACGGCAGCCAGCGGAGCTGCAGCAGCAGCACGCAGAGAGCTTCCAGCTGCACAGACACCCCAAATCTCGGGGCCTGAGCGCTCTTGTCCGAGGCAGAAAAACATCCCTGTGCCACAGGAGACACCGGGATGGAAATGAGACCACGAGGATGTGCGAGCTGATGGGGCAAGGGCAAAGCCTGGGGAGCTTGGGCAGCAAAGCCCGAGATCTTGGGCAGCAAAGCCCAGGAGCTTGGGCAGCCAAGCCCAGCCCCGTTTACGAGTGGTTTAACGAGGAGGTGAAGAGCAGCATTGTTTCAGAGCCCGGTGCCTGCTCAGCAGATGCACATGTTTCCTGTTTGTCAAACTCCCAGCTCTCTTTGGTGTTGTTTTGTTTGGGTTTTTTTTCCCCCAGTTTGGAATAAAATCCCTTAAACGGGGCAGCGTGAGGAACCACCAGGACTTTTCTCAGAAGACCCTCATCGCCTTGGTCACATCTGGACTCCTGCTGGCGTTCCTGGGCTTGGCTGGATATTTCCTGATGAAGCGGCGGAGCTGGAGCCCGGCGGGAGAGCGGCTGGTCAGTGCTTACCGATGGC